TACTCTGCGGGATAATGGAACACCTGTGTAACACTGGACGGATACCCTTTATTGTAGCCGTCTATAGTCAGTACAGGGTCGTTATACCATGTACATAGAAATATACTTGACTGCATTACAAATGTATATCTATAGCTTTACTAATATTTTAAAGAAGAAAACTTCGTTTGTTTGATTGTAATGAATAGGCTCAAAAACTACTGGGCCGATTTTAAAAATTCTTTCACCGTTAGAAAGGTAATTTATCTCTGAATTATTAATGATTATTGTTCTTAAATTTCACGCGGACGGAGTCGCGGGCAAAAGCTATCTAAATTGTTTGTAATTTTGTTTAATAGAAAAAACTAAGCTGACTTGAAATTACAGTATTTTAACGAGTAACATTTCATTAATGTAATCGGTTAAGTGTATGTTTGTGTATTTTCTAATGTACAGTCGCGGAAATACGCAGTGTTCCACTTATAGAAAACTTGTCTTCTTTCTCACAACGTGAAAAACTCCACCCCCTTTTACAATAACTAATAAGGTTGTAGTGAGTTGCGCAAACGACAGGATAATAATGAAAGCATAGCCGCGTACCAGACAATTTATCTAGACATATTTAAAAGCTGCATATTATTGGCAATTATAGCGCGTCGCCTCAATAGATACAAATGTTCAAATCTCTTTAAATTTGAGGTGGCATACCGGCAGATTCCCCGATTGTACTTACATGTCTTTTTAGTTGTCTTGAGAACATTGAAAAGCATGTTTTATTTTCATAGAAAGGAAATAAAAAGGAGTTTCTTAAGTTTTGCGATTCTCAACGTAAAGTAATTCAATAATGTAAAGTTCTCCAACAAACAAAGCTGAGATTGTGAATGCAAAAGTTATCTCATAAATTCTTACTTCGTGTAGGAAGATCATTAGGTGACTTTAGTGTATTAAGCTGGGAAGTCAAGACGAATAAGTTATTACTTAAGAAAGATTTCGTTTTACTTTTAAAGTATATAGTACTAATTGGTTCTCGCGACTTTGTCCCCGTGAAATTTAACAATGTTGTAAAAAAATATAGCCCATGTTACTTACAGATAAATCACCTTTCTAATGGTGAAAGATTTTTTTAAATCGGCCCAGTAGTTTTCACGTGAATCGAATACATACAAAAGTCCAAAAATAGAAACATTTCCTCTTTAAAACATTAGTATACATATAGATTAAGATTGTTTGTTGTAATGTAATTTTTTGTGAATGATACCAAAATTCCGATGTTGATTATTATTCAGAATATACTTGTAGATGTAGTATTGCTTTTTGGAACATTACGAAAGGCATTTTAAAGACAAATCGTATTCTGTTTGTTAGAGTTTCATCAAAATTAATTAAATGTTATTACAGTGCAGTATGTTATGTATAATTACAGTAAATAACTCACTCAGGCCAGTGTACAATGTTTCTGTACAACTGACGAAGCTATTATCTCAAAGGCAAGTCGTAAGTCTTTTGTCTTTCGTTGTAGACAATTTCTCAAAATTAGTGTCGAATTTTATGTCGAGCAATAACTTTGTATTCAAATTAGATTAAATAGAGGGCGCAGTGATTGAATTAACTACATTGTTCTTAATTAAAATTGACACACGACATCAAAATTGCCTTTTGATTAAGCCTTTTTGGTACCGGTATACATTTAAAAATAGTTAATCTATACTAATATTATAAAGAGGAAAGATTTGTATTTTTGTATGTATTGAAATAGTCAAAAACTACTGAGCCAATTTTAAAAATTCTTTCATCTTTAGAAAGGTGTGATTAACATAGTAATCTGTGATTATCATAGGTTATATTTTTTAATTCCACGCTGGCGAAGTCGCGAGCATCAGCTAGTTAAAATAATTTTACTAAGTTTTATTATGGAACAGCTTGTTTACTAATAAAACTACTTTATTGATCATTAAACATATAAATAAATGTATCAATGTAAGAGAGATGTAGGAATGCGACATGCGGCACATTCCTAGACCTCTGTGAGCATTGCTTATAGAATTCTAGTTCACTGAACTGAATCTATTCAAAACATTTTCAGAAAACAGACTAAATGTAATAGTTTAAGTACGTTATTTTACATACAAGAATAATGTTTTTTTGTAACATCAACTCTAACTAGAGTTGAAGCGAAAGATATTCTATACAGATTTTCTCTTTTCCTTAAGTTTTAAACACAAATAAGGAGAAAACAACGTCAATAAAATGTTAAGCTTAGAGAAGTGGCGCGGTGTCGTCTTTACTTACGATATTAACAAAGTTCCTTAACAAACTTACTTTGTGGCGCCACAACTTATTTAAATCAACTTTAAATATTTATTTCAACTAACTAGCTATACAAATTTAAAAGCTACGTCAAACGTAAATATACGTGTCGCAGTTTATTTCTTTTTATAAGAAAATTAATTGACGAACTCTTAGAGCAGGCTCACACCTTTCCACATTATCGCAAAACAGATGTGCGATTTTCAATTGTCGATTGCTTTTTGAAGCTTGGCTTTGGCTAAGGCCAATTCAACTTTTTAGTTGCACAACTAAAAATCGAGTAGTGTTCGCACCTACATATAAGTTCATAGGAATCAAAGCGAGCCTAAACAGTTGTGCTATAGTTTAGTCAAAGATCTGCGCGTTGTTATAAGAGTAATGCATTGTTTGAAATGTAAAACGTGATTATTTTTATATGTATATCTTGAATATACCATAACTTAAAGACAAGGTCTTAGGGAACGCCGTTTCTTGTTTTACTTTATAAGACGGAGTACACATCGGGCGTGAAATAAAGTGCACGATAAAGATATTTCCTCGCCGTATATCTTGTAAACGTGTGTACACACCTTACGGTGGCCATAGTGTAGTGCAGTTTACTGTCAGTTGTGTACAGTTCTATGTGTACAATAGCAGTTATGTAACGTGTACTGTGTACAGGCACGCCGGGAGACACCAATAACATAGTGCAGATGTTTATCATATGTGTATGTTTTTGAAACCGAAGGCTACTGGTTGTATTACTGCCACTTGTATAGTGTGTAAATTTAAATTTTTATCTTCTGTAACCATTATCTACCCTCAGGACGTACTCCAGCGACCTCGTCCGACTTTACTCTGGGAAAATCTGCCTCAAGATAATGCAAATACCGCTTCATTACAATCAAGTAACTTTGTCGTTGAGACTAACGTAGTCCTATCGTCATAATATTTTTTTTAAATCGGCCCAGTAGTTTTGACATGAATCCAAAATATGCAATACTACAAAAACACAAATCTTTCCTCTTTATAATATTGATATAGTCAAAATACGGTTTAGCTCACGTAAAACATATGACGTAGGCACCGACCAGTTTCCTATCATCGTGTCCATTTTCATTTAAGTTAGACACATTATACTATGGAATAATCTTCGTTTAAGAAAGTTTTACACTGTCTCAGTTTCTTTTTCAATAATGAATGACATGCTATAACAAATATACCGACATGGAAACCAACCGTAATATCGTAAGTGTTTATGTTGTATTAACGCAACACGCTGTTATCAGACACGAGACGGGTTCGCGGGTCGTATAGTAAAAATATATGTACTTTTTATTATTATACGAACCTTTTACCCATCTCCCTTGTTTAGTAACATTTACATAATCACTACTGAAACCCGAACCTAAGCCACACGTCATAAAAGCTTCCTAGACAATTAAATATACAGTGTATACACGTATCTAAAATATTACATTGTAAATGGAATCTACACATATAATAAAATTGGAATATCAAAAGAAAAAATACAGATTTCGGGAAGATGACTTATTTGTGTTGCTGATAACGAAAATCGCGTTTAATTTTTTTTTGTCTTTCGGTCTGTCTGTCTGTCTGTCTGGCTGTCCGCAAGCCGCGTTTGTTCTGGGTAATTTCCGAAATGGCTGGGCCGATTTCGAGCGGACTTTCACTAAAGGGTAGCTGACATAGACGGACATATTATAGGCTACTTTTTTATCTTAATGTTACGTGGACAAAGTCGCGGGCAAAAGCTAGTTGTATAAAAACGCAATAAAATAGCTTGTATTTCAGGGCAAGTAATAAAGGTGTGCTTTAAAGATTTCTTCAAACGGCACTTGTAAATTAAGGGTGTCGTTTCAAAGAAAAGTTTTTGTTGTGTTGTTTGAAGTGTGTAATCGATGCAGAATAATCAATTACGATTTATTGATATGTTTTTGTGATTGTTGTCTTTAACAAAAATATAATGTTGTGGATCTGATTGAATACTCGTGTGTGTGTGTGACGTCATCTCACATCTCTACCAAGCAACTAGAAACCTGTTCAAGTGGAGAGATAGAACGTATAACTGAATAAGTTACAAGATTATGCTAAAATATGTCTCTTTAATCACCTAAAGAGGTCGAGTACTTAAAATGTATAACAGGAGAATTTACATAGCAACAAAGAGGATGTTGTGTCGCAAGGGATGGCTAGGGATCTTCGAGAACCCTTTTCACTTGTTTATATCCCGTTTTAAGATAGGTACGGGTTACGGGTGACCGCAGAATACACAAGGAGTTTCAATAGCTATTTAATAATTCACTAGTCGTGAGTTTATAAATCTTATCGGCTAAGAAAGCTACTAAGAGCCTGTCCTATCAAATTGTAAATTGTCTGATAACAATCCAACGTGTAAAATAAGTGATGGAATTATCGAATTTTGTTTCCTTATCTGACAGTGATGCCATTTTTAAGCTATCTGAGCCTTTATCAGCCAGTGGTGGGACAGGCCCTAATGGTTCTAGCTACGTAATGCCGAAGCTACAAAACTGTTTGAACTGACCAAATAGAATCTGATGGAGTTACATTTAAACATGATTCTCTTACTATATTTAAATGTTTTAACATTCGTCTGTAGCAGTCTCGTTTTACTGGTTCAACTCAATCTTGGTTATTTTACTAGTTTGTGATTTATACGGGAGATTTGAGGGTTTTGACAATGAAATTTCAAGTTCATGTTTTCAATTTTTTTTAGCAAATTTCAGTATTACTCAGCTTTCTTACATTTTATGTCAGAAACATTAATCGCCATGCCATTTATGAGAAGTGTGGAACCTGCAACGCAGACCGCTTCTATTTCAGTTCCAGGATACTGTACAAAACCTTTTTTACAGGCGATTGTCATTTCCTCCCCTTTAGGCACCATTAAAGTTCTGTCATTATCTGACAGAAATCTAACATTCAATACAGATCCACCCAGCCAATAAATTACTGGGCTATCTTCATTTACGTCATTCACAAACGTGCATCCTGTCAAATAAAATTACAATTACTTATGTTGTTGATGATATCACATAGAATGCGCGCCGCGTTACCAAAAGTTTAAAAAGTTTGTTAGGGAGCTGCCAGAGATGGTGACCAACCCTCATAACATATCCATTTAAATATATTGTCAGGGTTACCTAACCGTATCCTGCAAGCCTATGTTTAATTGTTCTTTGAAGTGGTAATTTTTTTTGAGTCAAAACCCTTACCAATGGATTAAGTGTATTGTAAATTTGACCCTATGTTGGCGGTTGCCTATCTTTTCTATGTGTATATGAAGTTATATAGTACGGGAGTCTGGTACGGCGCTCGAGGTTACGTCCACGAGTTAAATATAAAAAAGGACTTTAAATTTAAGTTTTTCAAAAATGTCAACGTCTGCTACTCTTCCATCATTAAATGCAACTAACCTGGTTCGGCGATTTTAAAGTCACGAGTGATTGTTCCAAATGCGTTGCTGACTGTACATTTGTAGTTTCCTAAATCACTCAAAATCATATAAATACGGTAATCCATATCTGTGATATCTAATAATTCGCCATTGTGCTGCCAAGTTGCCTGTAAACAATATTGCTAATTAGTTTTACACAAATAATACCAGGTTCCTACACCCTAACGAAGAGACGATGGGCTCGAAACATGCCGACATCGACTGTCTACTTACGGTCGGTTGCGGTTCTCCGGCGGCCAGACACGAGAAATACGCCTCGGCATTTAAAAGAAAATCAATTTGCTCCCAGCTTTGCTCCAAGAACTCCGGCGGGAAGCCGACGTTGACGTCAGTGGAGGCGCTGCTTGTGGCGCCGGAGGGCGAGCTGACGCGGCAGGTGTACACACCGCTGGTATCAATATCAACATCTGTCAAGTATAATTCACCGGTAGCCACGATTTCCGTATCCTGAAAATTATTTTCCATTAACTTGTATTTTAAAGATCTTTTTTTTCGTTATCAGCAATGGCAGCGTCCAACAAATGCTTGTTGTGTTGAATTAATAATAAAGTACCTTGTACCACATCAGGCGGTCGTTAGCCGTGTGCGGTACATCGCAATCGATGGTAGCCGATGAACCCGACAATAAATTCACAACATTCCGTTTCTCAGTTGCATTGGGGTAAGCTGCAATAAAATATGACAATAATTAAATACATCCCTCCCTCATCTTACAAGTATGTAGCTATCACAAAATCAAAAATATCCATAATTTTCAGGTGGCCGCTCACTCGGTTGTGTTGTTTCTCACATTATTTAAGGGCGACTGTCGATTGTTTCGCCTTTAAATAAATATCCATTAATAAATAAGATTGGGTAACTTACGTCGCACAACAACGTCGAAATAATCTGTAGCAATCCCTTTTGAATTTCTCGCTGTACACATATATCGGCCTTGTGATGTTTCGGTTACGTTTTTTATCAATAGAGTACCATCCTGATTTATATTGTACAACTTGGAACCTTTTAACATTTATAAAAAATAAGTTGACATAACAAGTTTCAAATTATGTTATCCAAAAAATGTTTATTAAAGTATTTTAATGCAAGAATTAGGTATCTGTTAAGTTTATTTAATAGAATTTGGTTGTCACCTGGAGAAATTTCTATGTCATCTTTGGTCCAAGTGATTGTAGGCTGTGGGCTGCCTGTGGCGCGGCACGGCAGATTTACCACCAAGTCGCCAATCACAGCTACTGTAGTTTTAGGTACTGAAGACGTTTCGATCTGTGGCGGACCTATTTAATTGTAAAGATTATATTAACTTAAAACGTATGTTTTTAATGTAATAAATATGTAAGCGATAAGTTCCTTCTACTACCATCTACTACGAGCTGCAATACTTTTGTGTCGGATCCGACTTCGTTTACGGCATTACACGTGTAAGTTCCCGAGTCGTTGAAAGAAACCACCATCCTGGAGACAAACAATTCCTAAAGATACAGTTTTTTGTTTACCAGAAGTAATATATGGTAATATTAATCGAAATCATACAATAAATCACCAGAAGCACGACGAATTACGTTCGATAAACTTACTTTAAAGAATGGTGTGTATAAAATCGAATATGTGAAGTTTTCTTGATTTCATGTCCCTTGTAATACCATGTGACTTTGGGCGCCGGGACGCCGTCCGCGTTACAGGTGAGGTAGACAGTTTTACCTTCCTCAGACCTTATTATGTTCCTTTTATCTCTTATTGTTGGTGGATCTAAATTGAAAATTAACATAATAAGCAAATTGTCATTTGTATCACGTAGCATATAAACAACTGGAAGTTATATACTTACATTTAACTACTAGTTCTATTTGGTGTTCGGCTCGTCCAAACAAATTACTCGCCTCGCATTTGTATGTTCCCGCGTTATGTTGATTAGTGCTTTTTATCTCAATGACATCTGAGCTACTGCCAAGGGGGATAAACGCCCGAGTCGAGGGACGTTTGTGACTCCATCGGATGTCTGGTTGTGGTATACCTTCGATCACACTGTGCAAAATAGAATGTTTTTATTCAAGACACCAAGAATAACATCTGCTTCTTGTATTGGCTCACTCTATACTAAAACCACACAGAAGACAAACGTGAAATCGAAGCAATTTCTCGTTTAGTCTGATGAATGTGCTTGTCGCGAGCATAATTTAAGTCGCTTGTCCCTTCCCACCCTTTTCTTATAGAAAGGATATTCATAGGAATGCGAAATTCCTCTTTCTGTGTGAGTTTAGAGATAACAAATATACATCCATCAAAAATTAGAATCATTAGCCAATCTCACTTACTTGCAAATAATTTTAGCACTTTCTTTCCTTACCACGCTAACTTGTTTTATAGAATCATCGATTTTCGGTGGCACTAAAATTTATAGAATTACAAAAGTTATTAAGTTTTTAATAGTTAGTAATAAAATTGAAAATTTACAAAGGCGGTGGTTGCGTTACGACAAAAGTAAACAAGAAATAAAATAAATATGCTATGAAATACGGGATGGGCGCAACGAAATAGAAAACGTTTTTGGAAGATGCCGTGACACTTATCATGTTGTGATTCTTTTTATAATTCAAAGATCTTTCAAATATATTAGACCATTTACATGCATAGCTTATCTTACCTTTCTGAACTGCAATCGTAACTTGCGTTGAATCATTTCCGAGGTCATTGCTGACGCTACATAGATACGACGTGTTTGTTTCCACTGATTCTAAGTCTAGCAGACCTATGTAATCATAAGGTAGTTCTTCTTCCACGATCTAGTAATAAAGAAAAATAAATTAATTGATTACATAGTTTTTCATGTAGGTAACGGTTAAGTACAGTCGCCTTCGTGTGCGGTGTTCCTGTAAAATCTGCAGCTCTTAGAATATTCATGAACCTTCTAGCATATTTGTCTTAATAAAAAGCTTGTAGTCAAATAATTTCAACTCCAAATGTTTTTGATGAAAAATTAATTGAGGTGAAATGTAACTACATAGGAAGTTGAAAATGATTACCATTTGCGATACTATCGTTCCCGACTTTTCTTCTATCCATAAAAGACTTGGTTTGGGATAGGCATTAACTTTACACTGCAGCTGCACAGAGTTGCCATATGCAACAGCTATTGTAGGGTCTCGAACAGAAGTAATGGTAGGCCTTCTGTTCTCCGGTTTATCTTCTAAAATGTTTAAACGTACTTTAAAGTATAGCATCACATCTCTAAGAATAATGTGTCTAAAATAAAACCAGTAATTATTCAATTTAAAACAATATTTTTTACGCATCACCAGAGGGAAGGAGGACAGTATTTGTTTGGATTTTTTAACTATAGCGCCCATGATCATTAGCCTGCCTCCATCATCACCTGGCAACGCCCATGCAATAATTTATGAAGTACTTACCGTTGGTTAGTGCTTGTGGTTCAACGGGGGTGGCAGATAATCTTCGTAAAGATTCTTTTGTCTTTGTATTATGTCCTATCACCTATAAATACACATCAGTCTAGTTTTAATTGCAATAACAACAAAAGTTTTGAGAAAATGTCGTTTACCTACCGCTATTTTGAACATAGAAGTCGGAGGCAGTTGTTGTTCAGCTACATAGAAATTCACGGAGATTTCTTTTAACGGCCGTACAGAAATAACATTATCATTCATGTCTAATAATTCAACAGCATCCAGTTTAACATCCTCAGCTTTACTCGATAATTCTATTGCCAAGTATGATGGTTTACCTAAAAAAGGCGATATTATTCATAACATGACCTATACAGGAGAATACATCAATATTTTTACTGAGTACCATCGTATTTAAATTACCTAGAATGGGTCTGGTTACGGTTCCATTTATTGACCTTGGTTTAAATTCTGAGAAACCATGTTGGAAGTTAACATTGGTGGTGCCGGATATAACAACGCTCGTGTCAGTTTCGCTGCCCACATTAGCTATAGCATTACCTGATCCAAGTCCACTAACTCCCACGACCTGCATAAATGATAGTATATTGGTTGATAGCATACGACTCATACTTTCATTTTGTTTGTATCGTCAATGATTTTTAAAAAGCTAACGTTTGGATTATACAGTTATTTTAATTTCAAAAATCATTTAGATAAATAACTTATACAAAATCTGCCATTAATGGTATTTAAGCTACATTAGATTTTGACTTTAACATCTTAAAGTCAAAATCAAGTCAAACTTACCAGAGTATTATCATTTTTGAATATGTCAGTTGCATTAGCTAAATTTCCGTCAGGTCTCTTTATGTTTAGTTGTGGCCTTTGGCCTGTTACGGAAACTTGTACGTCATCTAATTGATGGTCAACTGAAAACTGAATATTTAAGTTAAATAACTTGCTTATTCTACAAAAGTATAGAATAAGGACAACCTTGACGATCAACAATCTCAAAGTTAAGCTAAGATCAAATAACAATGACAAACTCACATTCATGTTGTTGTTGTAGCCAGGTGGAAATGTTGCTGAATTTATAACGCTCCGTCTTTTGTCTAGAGATCTCCCTACGTAATCTAGTACCTGGATTAATGCAATATATTTTAAATCACATACAAAGTGAAAGTCACATACATTATCGTTTAATAACTTTTAATTGGAAGGCAAAGGGGTCTAAAATTATACTGTTTTCTGTATGACCATGGTATTGCACCTAGCGAGCCGGCCTATTCTTGCAAAATATGTGTTTTTACTGGCGTTTACAATTGTTAAAATTCTTCTCTACTTCAATTTCTGGAGGTCCAACTGTAGTCCCATTTTACTTCCCACCCTTCTTTTTATACGAAAACGATGGGAAGGGAATGTGGATTCGACGGTGCAGAAGACGCATAGAAGGGAGAAATATTCTCTTTATGTGCGTCTCCTCTTCTGTCGACCAAGAGTAGGCAACGCATCTGCTATCTCGAATGTCTAGCGGTCGCTTCGCCATTTTGGTGGATTCAGGTGGCCGTTTACTCGTTTGCCACCTTATGATAAAAAAAATCCTGTATGAATTTAAATGTAACATTCTGATACTTGTCATTTTGTTTCAATAATGTATGGACATTAATAAGTAATTGTTATAACTATCAATTTGTCTTTATTAAATTATGTCTTGTAGCGCGTTGTCTATAGTGTTACCTTCTCTATTTCACCTCTGGCGACGCGAAGTACTTGCCCTGAAGTGGCAAAGGCCAGCTCTTTATATACTTTAAAAGCAGGAACATTTTCATTATAAGTTCCGCACGTCGGTGGCGTTATCACGAACGTAATCTGGCAAACAATATACATATAAACATTATTAGTATGTTTTCATAGAACTATTGGATTACAAGTTGCTACAAATAAGTAAAAATGATACAAACGTCGTAGAATTTTGCACAAGCGACTGATAAATAAATTCACTCCTTTAGCTCTTGTCAAATTCACCTGTTGGCTATCGCGGTTTACCAAAAGATATTGCGAACTCTTCGGTCTTAGGTCAGTACCTGTGTTCCTTGTTTT